CTCCTGACATTCTGTGATTCTGTGAAAAGGTGAGGACAAAGAGATTGGATTTTGAACAATCCCATACAGTTCTAGGACTGTGTGAGTCCATGCTTCATGGTTACCAGCAATGAAATGCATTCAAGTTATGCAATTCACATCCATACGTAACAGGCAATATGAGGCAGATTTGTGTACAGCCACTCTAATTTTCTTTGTGGCTTACTAACAGAACCCCATTTTTGTAGGAAACCAAATACTGGGGGACTTGGCATCCAATTTGCAAGAGAGACACTTCAGATGATGCTCCTAAGTGTATTTTTAACCATATTTCTTCTAGATGAGAAAAAGTTACGAGTGCTTCAGGGTGCACCTCATGACTCCAAGTACAGACAAAGCAAATTCATGCCTAAAAGGAACCCATACTAGGACCTGAATCACTAATATAGACAAACCCATAGTGTATCAGCAGACAGTGTCAAGAGAGCTTGGTTCTTCACAGAAGTAGCTGTGAACAGTAGATTAATCAATCTAAATCACTTCTTAAAAACCATTTCATACATTCCTGTCCAAGGCTGCTTTCTTAGGCACATCACACAGCAAATGCAAGTGTGTTGCTAAAGGCAGGGAAGAGGAGATGCTCTGGAGGTGCAGAACGGCTGTGCAGCCAGCAGATGGCTGCTCTTCTGCCAGCGTGCTTGGCCCCTGCGTGCGGAGGCTCCCGTAGGGTTGTGTGTCTTTCAATGGAAAGTGTAACTGTCAGGAAATCTGCTTTGTCTTTTTCCTCTTTTTGATTTATAAATTGAAAAATAAAAAGAGCTGCTGTTGTGGTAAGAGTTGTGAGTGATGGTGCAGTAAGCATAGTGGCTTTTTAAGCTGCAGAAGATTACAATGATCTTTCTGAATCACAAAAGGAGTTGATATCAGTGTCATTGCAAGAAAAGCAATAACATTTTTTTAACATCTCTCTGTCTTTCTGTGTTTTAGGAGATCACACAAAAATAAGCGTAAACACCAGAAATGTGTTTATTGAGTGTACAGGCACAGATATTACAAAGGTATGTTAATCTTTCCTGCTTTTGATATGCTATAGTGTTACTGTTTTCCTTTGGGTGATATGGGTCCAGTACAAAGACGTACAATAGCCAAGCACTTTGTGGAGCAGATCTCCCATTTCAGAAGAGCAGGGTAGGTTGTGGGACTGTGCAGAATTCCTTCAACAGTTTTAGGCTTACTCTGTAGACAGTGTTGTGTTTTCATTGGATTTTGTTTTCACTGTGTCTTTATGTTGGCGCTAAGAGTTCAGTTTGTACAAGAAAGTAATGGAAGTAAATTGCGGGGAGTGTTGTTGAACACTTTTTCTAAATCTGAAAGGTTTCCAAAAGAGTAAAATTCACTGAGACTGCCTGTTTTGCTGGAATACTCTTTGTAAAAAATTATTTTGTCTTGTGCTTAAAATTTAGGATGAGGTAAGGAAGACAAAACTTTTTCTTCTTAGTTATCTTTTTCAGGCAGGGATGCTGTGCAAATAATTGTCAAATTGAAGTCTTTCCACATGCAAATTCTGTAACTCAAAGCTGAAGCGTAAAAGCCTAGCAGTTATAATTACCTGTTCTCGAATGCAGGTTGTGCATTCATTGATAGCTTCCCTAAAGTGCATGTTTTGACACTGAAGAGCAAAAACGCTTTTAACTTACCCTACTGCACAATGATATGTTCATGGCACAAATAAATGTGCATGTTGGGGAGTGGCTTCTAAGTAAACTAATAAATTTAATAATAAATAAATTAGCTTCTTGCTGCTCCTTGCCTTGATAGTAAAAATAAAAATAATGCTGTTCTGTTCAGATGAAGGCATCAAAAAACAACCCTTCTAGACTAAGAAGCTGAATCTCATTATTCTGTTCTACTAGTCTCTTAAAATATTAACTGTCACCCAAAAGATCTTCCAGAGGTGGTTAATTGATAATATATTTCTAAACGATGCATAGTCCCTACATCCTCACTTGGAACTTCTGTGAGATGACTGATGAGACTCAAGGTTGGGAAGGCTCAGTTCCAACTGGTAGTAAAGACCCTGTGTGTATCTTCAGAACAGAGTTTAGCGAAGATACACAAATGTATCAGAACCTTGAAAACCAAAGATTTCAAGTTGTTGTATTCTAGACTGCTGGGATTGTGGTTGTTAAGCTATTAAATAGAGTAGAATTAAGAGAGTGAAAGATAAGAATTTTTTCCTCTGTTATTTATTAAGATATTTTGCCTACTTCAACACAAGTAGATGACAAATTTCAATGTGATTATCATCTTTATTTTGTAGGCAAAGATTGTTCTTGATATTATAGTCACGATGTTTAGTGAATATTGTGAGAAGCCGTTCAGGTGAGTATTAATCTCCAGTCAGAGAGACATTACATTTGGGCTGTGTGTTAAAGACATTTTTACTTCTGTTTTTTTGTCTCTCAGTGTTGAAGCAGCAGAAGTAGTTTATCCGAATGGGAAGACCCACATCTATCCGGTAAGCATAGTGATATGATCTTAGCATCCTTGAAGAAAGGGTTTTATTTACACAGAGTCTGTCGTCTTTTTCTGCGGAGGCAGGATATACTGGTTCTGAGGTTCGGTGTAAAAGCTCAGCTTGGCACTATCTATATATTAGTGAGTCAGGGCCTTCTCTAGCTCCACAAAACATAACTCCAGTTCCAGCTTCCCCTTATCTAGGAAACTCATTCTGAAACTCCACTAATTTATGATAAGGCTGAAAATACAGTCTCAGTGACATAGCCTGCTACTCCAAAAAGGAAGGATAGGGTTTAAAGTTACGAGTGGTAACCACTGTTGTGGTTTAGAGTTCATGTGACACAAACTTTTTCAGGAACAAGTAAAGATTGAAATCAAAGGCCATAATCTGGGCTAAAGTCTTTAAATGAATGCAGGAAGTGGTCCTTCAGGCTTGAGCCAGTGGACAACTGCAATCAGCCTCAGCATAACTTTCTTATGAGATCTGGGAGCTTTAATGCCCTTCAGTGAAAATAACCTTGTAACACTGGATTTTTCAGTCTTTCACTTTTATAGACTCGAGCTATATAAAGGTCTAAAAGACAGGAGATTGACTTCAAGAGCATTCAGAGTCACAGGCAGACCTCTTTGCTGTCTTACCTTTTTGTTCTCTCCATAAGTATAAAGAAAGCAGTTCCTCCTGTGTTCTGAAAGTAACTGAAAACAAACAAATGTCTGGTTGACTTCATCAGATCAAATAGATCAAGCAAGTACAAACTGTTCAGAGAGAAAGAAACTTCTTTTTACTCCGAGTTTTTCTAGTGGTATTTTAGCTTTTAGCAATGTCAGCTTTTATCAAAGGAAAGACCTGGAATCCCGAGGAGATACCCAACAGAACAGAAGTGTCTGCAGTAACCAAGGTAGATTCCCTAGTTAAAGTAGAACAGAAAAACCCCTGAAGTTTTAGATGCTAAGGTTTTTAAGGATTTGTGTGTCTAGATGTTTAGAAACACCTAAATAAATACATACAAAATAACTTCCTTAAATATGATGCAAACTGCCCAAGTAAAATACCAGTAAATACGCCAATACGGAAATAGAAATTTCCTTTCCTTTCCCTCCTGAAGGTCATTTGATCTGTACTAGACTGTGAGATCTTAGGCATGACTAGTCACTCCTTTAGGGCTTTGACTTAGGCTGAACTGGTGATTAGAAACTTTCAGAAACTCTGTAACTTGCATATATCAGAATTTATCAGAAGTTTTACTCACAAGGGTTTCATGCTGCAGTCAGCCTTCTAGCTGAACCACAAACAGCTTTTGCATCGCGTACAATATTATGTTTTCAAGAATCTTGTTAGCTTAAAATATTAAGTTTAGTCTAACGTTTTGCACTTGTCTGCTGGGGATGCCATTTTAGTATCTTAGTTAGAAGATGCTAGATTACTAAGATGTCAAAATTGAATCCTCTTAGGTAGAAATGGCAGGCATTGTGTATACTGAAAAGCTTTGTATTTCTTTTTAGGAACTCACTTACCGAAAAGAGAAGGTGAAACCTGAACTCATTAACAAGAAAATAGGAATCAGGTGTGGTATTGCAAATGAAAACATAGTCTTTACTCATAACCATTAATAATGAAAAAGGTCCTAGAAAACATTAATTGTTGTATTGTTTTTAAAATGTTTACACTTTGTGATTTTTCTTTTTTTAGTTTACCAAAAGTTCAGGGTTATCTTGGGTGATTAGATCAATTCTGTAAGTCTTCTTTCCCTGTTGTGAAGGACAGTAAATGATTCTTTATGGCCTCACACAGCTGTTATGAACTAAAGAAGAATGACAGTCTCAAGAGTCAGAATCTGGGCTGGTTCTGGTGGAATGCTAGGTCTGTGTATGTACAGTCCTTAAAGCACTTGGACATTCTTCGGGATATAAGGCACTGCAGCAGAAGCATTGATTACTTTAAAAGCCAGTTGATACAGTGCAAGATCCACAAATTACTACTCTTGTGTTTTGTTTCAGTGAAACTCCATCAAGCCTTGCAAAGCTGCTGACTAGGATGTGTTTGAAGTCACACGTCATAGGGAATGGGAACAATATAGAGATTGAAATTCCTCCTACCAGAGCGGACATTATCCATGCATGTGATATCATAGAAGATGCAGCAATAGCTTATGGTTATAACAACATTCAGATGACTATTCCGAAAACGTACACCATAGCTAATCAAGTAAGATTGCCCCTTCAAGTAAACGCTCTGTCAGTAAATGACTAGTGCATGCCAGAAGGGTTTTGGGGAAAACAGAACCTAGGAATTAAATATTTTGACATGCTTTGCCTTGAGAAGTATTTACCATGGATAGGATACAAAACAGATGCCCCACTGATGTGAATAAGGCCAAGACCAGTGGTTGCTGGTACTTGAAAAAAGACAGTGTTTAAGTAGGGAGTCTGTATTAAATCTCTAATTGGGAGATTCATTTCCTCAGGCAAGCCTGAAGGCAGCTCGCTGCTGCTTTCAAAAATTTCAAGCACACAGGCGTAGGACCACCCTAGTGAATTCACCGTAATGTAGCAGGCAGAATCACCTCGGGAAAGAATAGAAAAATGGTTTTAGATGGAAGTTGCAAACTGGTTTGTTGTTTTTTTTCATTTTAGCTCCCCCTCAATAAGCTCACAGAACTTCTGCGAATGGACTTGGCAGCTGCTGGATTCACTGAAGCACTCACTTTTGCCCTGGTATATTATATTGATTGCGTATTTTTCTTAGTTGCGTGTTGGAACTGCGATGCAGCCGAAACTGCAGAGGATGGTCTGAGTATATGTTGTTGTATAAATGTACCAGTGTTATCCATTACTGTTTTGGCAGGTGATTGTTTGCTAGTGCTTTGGATTTACAGTATAATATTTTGAGAGGGTGTAGGTCAAAGAAATTGAATGAATCTCAGTGAACGTGGCATGCAGTTCTAAGTGTAGAGGTGGAAACAGCTACTGAAGTACTGGTTTTAGTTGAACTTGATAGGATGAGATTGTAGGATAGAAAGTCTCTCTCAAGACGTTGAATACCAGATGTGAAATTCACCATAGTTTGATAATCTGGAAAGCAAACAAAAAATATAGTACTTTCTGGTGGGTATCAGTACAGTTTAGAGATTACTCTATTTGTCTCTTTTTAGCATCGTCACTTGCCCATGATTCCTTGTGTTAGATACCAAGCTGATAGGTAGGTAGTCAGCAAAGAGTTTATTTTAAGAACATGTGTAAAAAAGTTACCATATACATTAAGGGGACACAAATTCCTCTGTGAATTTCACCACAGGTGGGTTTCTTTGCATGGAAGAACAAATACAGTATAGTAATCATTGTTACCGCTGGTTGCAGGCATCGTTCACTTTATTTCTTACAGCCATGCCAGTCGTTTTTTACCAAGAATTAGGACTCTGCAGCAGCGTGTGCCACTCCAGTACTGAAGAGCTGGCGTAATTTCTACTGCTGAAATTTTGCAGCGGGATTGTTTTGTTGAAATGAAATGTTCAGTAGGAAACACCGTCTTTGTCATGGCCGCTTGTTCGTACCCCTTTGCCGTAGTTGTTAACTGGATCAGAGAACCTGATCTACTATTTAAAAAAAGAAATTAAGCACACCCCCATGCCCTCCAAATGTATAGGGTAACTGTCAATACGTGGACACTGGCATAGTCAGCTACTAAACATACACCATACCTTTTAGAAAATCCTTTCTGTTGCAAGATCTGCTCAAAGCCTTTGCCTTAAAGTGCAACTGGTTCACGTTTTAGCATAGGGGGAGCTACTGTCACATATTCTATTAAAACCTCTGTGGAATTTCTCAAACTTAAAACTTACTAGATGGTCAGAAGTATACATCTTTGAAAGTATACAACCTTTTAAGAGATGGTTATCTGATCACAGATTGCTTTTTTATTACTTAAAGATTTTAAGATACAGTGATGCAGGCTCCTAAATTACTTCCACACATTTCAGAAGTTCAGGTATTGCAACCAAAGCTGCTAATCCAAGTGGATTGAGTAAAATTTTGACACCCTCAGATTTAATGGAGCTTCAGAAGCAAAATTTGCACTAATCCTAAAATCTGAAAAATATATTCCAGTTTTAAGATTTTGTTGTTAATTCGTTTAAGTAACCAGGAAAATAACTAGTATTACTTCCTGCAGTGCTGGTATTTGACAAAGATATTCAGACTACCTGTGGTAGTACCATGTTGGGGAAATATATACAACATGGTCAAGCTCTTATAGATTTTTCTTATTCATTAATAAGTATAATTACATTTTTTTCCAGCACTGAATATGTAATATGCTTAGAAGCATTGAATATATTCCATCACTGAACTGAGGATCTTTATGAACTGCAACAGCAGAACTCTGTAAGGTCACGCAGTGTATCGTGTTATCACATCTTTGTATTTCTGTGGCAGGATGAAACCCCTGGTCTGCTGTGTGAGGCCTATGAGTATGACCAATACGATTTATGCTACAACATTCTGTAGCCCAGTGTTATATGACAAACACTGCTTATGTATTTGTGCATACAATCTGTTTCTTGGTTTGAGCCCCAAATGTGTGCGTAAATGTACACAGTAACGTTGCTTTCTGTGAGGAGCTCCAGTTTAGCCAAAATGCATGTAGTTAAATCACAGTAACACACAGTAGTGTAGATACACATCTGCAAACTGTTTAACACAGTTTTCTTCTCCTAAGGTCAGCATGCATTTACGATGGTTTTTGTTGTTGTTCAATAATCCACTTTTTTGGATGGTATCATCTCCTCATTTTCCTTACCTTTGGTCTATCAACACGCTTTTCAGAGTGCTGCCAGTGCAAAGGGAACACTTCTGGGAGACTGCAGTATACTGGCAGGTCCTCAGTTACATGCCTAGTCTGCTGTTGGTTTCTTTAATACATTAATAAAGCTCTCAATTCTAGAAATCTCTAGTGTGGATCTTACCGGTAGCATCTGCTGCTGTACATGCCCAGACATCATCTGAGCCTGATAAAGTGCATGCGTATTGCTTTGCTGACCAACTTAGAAATACACCTTGAGAATAAGGGCTTTACAATCTTAAAAAAAAAATGAAAACAACAACACTGAACTAAAAGAATCCTATGCAGCTATGAAAATTGAAGGCTGGGCCATATGACCCATTTTTCATAGACTGTACTTTACTTTCTGTAAGTAGTCCCCAAGGGATTGTTTTCTTCATGAGAAAGTTCACGTACCATTCCCTTTACAAGTGCTGTTTTCAGAATAGAATACTGCACCCACTGCAAGTCAAGGGGCAGAATCTGAGCCTCTGTTTTTGAAACAGTTGACGGCAATCCATGACAGAAGCCTAGAAAAACACAAGGTTGTTTTTTTTTCTTTTTTTAAACTAACTTTATTTTGGTTAGCAATTAACATTTCTAGATAAACCAGTTTGCTTACTTAGCCTTAAGACTGAGACTTAATTTTTGATACGAGTGGTTGTTGCACATAAGAGCACGTATTATGGGGCCTCAGAGCAAGTGTTACAATGGCAGTGTTCATTCTTGATATCAGATTTCATCATTGGCTTACTGTCTGTTTTAACTACTTGACCTTGGTGGGTTTTTGTCTTTGCCTCTCAGTGTTCTCAAGAAGACATTGCAGATAAACTTGGCATGGATATCTCCGCAACAAAAGCAGTGCGCATAGCAAACCCCAAAACTGCAGAATTTCAGGTGAGATAATTCAGGTCAAATTTTGACAGCAACGTTGTCACAAATTCTGTATATAAAGAGGAAAGAAAGGAACTAACAGGAAATAGAATTTATCAACTGCAGAGATACTTTTCCTGCATTAAAAAGGGTGTGCATATTTATGTGCTAAACTTGCTAGCAGTCATTTTCTGTTACTCCTTACTGAGAAATACCTTATTTGCTGTGAAATACTATTAGCTTTTCAATACAGTAAAAGACATTGCTCTGTATGATAGCATGTGGCAAAATCGAGCTGTCTTATTACAGGAAAATCCCAGATGATGGCCTCTGCATTTGGAAAAGCCATTCAGTATAAATGCAACTACTAGACCTGGCAATCTATAAACTTCCTGGGCTCTGGATGGCAAATGTTTTTGTTTATTTTTAATTATTACCTACTATGACTCTTCTTTTTTTATTTTTTTGTTAAATCTGTACTGCTCTCAGTATTTTAATACTGCAGGATTACTCTCCGATGCACTGTGAACTTTCAGCTTAAGATGTTAACCGTGATGGGATTCTCAGGATGGCTTTTCCCCCATCCCCTGTCCTCTGCTATCAAGACAAGGACAGGATGATGCCAGGGACCCTCTTCCAGCTGTGTGTGCAGCTGGAACTCTTCTTTGGTTAGGGAAAGTTGGATGAATAGACAGAAACACTTCAATGACAAGAAGTAACCATGGCTGAGCATGTGGCAACTTTCTACCTGCAGTCAAGCAGCAGTCAGTCACTCTCGTCTCTTCCATTAGATTTTTTTGAATCAGATTCTTCCAGTTTGGAGAGAAAAAAGAAAAAGGGTGCACTTCTAAGGAAGTATCTGAGTGGAAAACACAGGGACCATGTGTGATGGGTCTGTCAGAACACTAATGTGATTGCCTCCTGCCTTGGTTCTTTGCATGCATTTTCTGGGTATTTCAGGTTGTCCACAGCTGCAATCTGAATATTTCCAGTTCTGTTACTTAGGTTCTACCTGTAACATTGATTGATATCAGGAGATAGCAAGATGATATTTCATATAGCATTTAATCTTTCCAAAATAACACTTAGTGTTTCTCTTTGTTTATAAGTGAGATTAAATTTATGGGACTGTTTTTGCGCTTCTTTCTGTATTGTTTGTTTTTCTACCCTGCACCCGCGAAGTGATACCTATTCTTAAACTCGCATATATACTCTTTCAGAAAATACATTATAAAGAGCATGCAGAGAATGTACATTTTCATGTTTAATAATCCTAAAACAAAGATGCTCAAACGTAACAGATTAGTGCAGTATTTCCTCCTGACTGCTTTTAAGCTCTTGTTACAAGTGAGCAGAACAAATACAGAACGCTAACAGCAGCTACTTTGGGAGGTGTTTCACTTGCAGCAACCATGTTTGTCCTGCAGGTGGCACGTACAACCCTTCTTCCTGGGCTGCTGAAAACGATTGCTGCCAACCGCAAGATGCCCTTGCCTCTGAAACTCTTTGAGATTTCTGACATTGTAGTAAAAGATCCTAATACAGGTAAGAGAAGGTTCCTCCGAAGTTTTGATATGGAAATACGTGTTTACATACACAATGGTAACAGTAAGTAAATCTGTATTTCATTTAAAATATAACAGTCACTACGTAGTTAGTTAGTTAGACTAACTCAGGTTAGAGATAAGGAGGAAGTTCTTTACTGAGAGGGTCGTCAGAAGCTGGAACAGGCTGCCCAGGGAGGTGGTGGAGTCCCCATCCCTGGATGTGTTTAAAGAGCGGGTAGATGAGGTACTTAGGGATATGGTTCAGGGGGTAGGCAGGAGCGGTTGGACATGATGATCTCAGAGGGCTTTTCCAACCGAGCGATTCTGTGATTCTGTGATAGTATGTTCTGGTTTTTAACTTATGTGCAAGAGTTAAGGGACTGACGTAACCGGGTAGATTTTCAAGTGGCTGGAGATGTGATTCTTAGAAGTGTAAGTGGGTACCTTGTAAATATTTTTAGGCATCAAAATATCCATTAACATCTGTCAAGAATACTGCAAGAATCCAAAGACAATGCAAGACAATTTTGCACCAAAAAAGAACCTGCTCTAAATTGCTTATGTTGATACACCCTTTTTTACTTGCTCTTAATCTATAGTGCTCCTCTGCATTCTTACCAGGGTTGTATCTCGTGAGAGAAACTCCCTGCTGGTCTTCAAGTGGCCCAAACCCTGGAAAGTAGTAAACATCAAAGGCTTGCCACTGTTACTAGGAGCTGTGTGAACGGCTGCGGCCTCACAGACGTACAGTGCTGTGCCACTGTCTCGAGCCTGTGAGTAGCAGGTTGTACTCACAGGCTGGTTCTACCCTGGAGAGCTGGAACTCAGAAGAAAACACTGGGGGCGGTATTTTCCATCCTCTTTAAACAAGGATTGCTTGTATTTGTTCTCCAAAATTATTTGGACTACGAACTGGCTCAAGGAAAGAAGCC